CAAAACCATGAATATTTGCAAATTATTTTGTAGTTCAAAATTCATAAAATTGTTTGTATTTATATCTAAGGTTAAAAAATTCAACACTWAGTTTTCCATAARTTTTGYTTCAAATAGCTATRGAGAAAATTTGAAGCGTCATTATAGGAAAAATAATTTTAATAGAACTGTTAAAATTGATCCAGATTTTGGTGATGCTTGGGCAAATTTCTATAAATTTGAACTTCAAAACTTCAAATCAGCCCCCCCCCCCGAAAAAAATCCTGGCTACGCCGCTGATTGGAAGTATTAAATGGAACTGAAGAAGTACAAGAGGATATTAAAAAGAGGAGTATTGCAGCAGAACCTCATCATGGTGAAGCATGGTGAATTGTATCAAAAAACATTAGCAACTGGAGACTTACGACTGAAAATGTTTTAATGTTGGTTGCCAAAGACTTACCTATCCCTATTAAAATAATATAATTCAAATAGAGTTTCATTTATGGGCTAAACTAACATGTAAAATGTAAATAGACACTAAAAATAATTTTTTTATTAATAGTTATAGTGTTATACTGAATATATTATTTAAGTGATTGTAGAAGTTTATTGATTTCATTTTGTTTGTTTTGTCGGCCATCGTCCTCACTAAATAAGCCACGCGGCTTTCTTTGATGTTTACCGAAAACCATCAGGAACCCGCGGCTTCAGCCGATCGGCTACAAAAGCCGGGCGGCCTCGCGTCTGCACCAAAATATTGAAGCCGAACGGCAAAGCCGCGCGGCTTAGCCGCAAGCCAATGGGGACGCACCTTTACGCGGGCCGCAAGTTGAAATTAACGGGACGAGAGTTAGAAAAACAACTAAAAATACATTTATATATTGTGTGTAATATGTTATAATAATTGTAATATGTTTGTATAATTGATTATAAATATACAACACTACAACAGATATCTGGCTACATTTAATATCAACAGTATATTTTCTTCAAAAGTATGTGATCACTCTCGAATATGTTTCATCAATCTTATATTATATTATATATCAGTTAAACATATTACATAAAGTAGGTCAATAAAAAATAATCAACATAATTGACCATTCCAGTTGTCTTTTATTGATATTGATTCATATTATTCTCGGCATACAAGCTCGTTTTCCATAACTATTTTATGTCTAATGGCTTCTAGTTCTAATGTATACAGAATACATCGGCATACAGTTAGTAAAATCAAAGTAGTAGTACCTTGGACAGTACTAATAAGTACTATCGTCTATCGGAATTCGGAGTTACAAATCACAAGCATTGAGTGACGAAACGATTTACAAATTTTAAACGTGACGGAATACAACAATAATTAATATAAAAACAGCAAAAAACTACGTTAAATAAATTGGCATTGTATTACTTTAAAATAAACTATGTGTTAAACCGCTACATGTGGAGTAAATAATTCAGAAATTGATATTTATTTATCCGTATGACAATTTAAATGGATTATGTGTCGTAATACTTCACACTGTCGAATGATGGATTTGTCGTAGCACGATTCGAAGTAAAAGTAAAAAAAGAATAACGAAACCACGATCAGTGATAATTCTAATCCACGAAATTATATTAAATTTTAATCTACATCACCGGTCACCGGAGAGTTCGGTGTTCTAATAATATTAGTCTCAGTTTAAAAAATGGTAAACAAAAAATAAAAAACGTTGAATCGTATTGCGTGGCAATAACCCCTTTTCGTCGTCGTTCACATTATTATAATATTATGAGAGGGCGCTGCGCCGACATTTACCGTCCCATTGTTTATTCAACGTACATATACTGCATTACAAACAATACAAACCTCAAGCAGTCACGTTCTTGATAACTGTTAGAAAAAAAACATCCACCATATATAATTTCAAACGTAAAAATACAAATCCGTTGTAAAAATGAAAGCAAACCACGTTTTCTGATTATAATATTATACCTATCTGACTGTCGATACATTCTTCTTCATACAATTACTATCGACAACTTCGTCTCGTTCGGTTTTTTTACGGGTAAGTATAGGTAAGGTATATCAGTATATGTTATATTATTATAATTTATTATACCCTTCACTCGATAACCAAATTTGAATGTCAAGAACGACGACGAACGTGTGTGTTACTACTGTTACTCAATGTGTTGAAGCTAATCATTAGCGATAAACTCTGAATGTGGTCTGTGGAAATATTACGTGAATTGTACGGATGGAAAACACGAGGACCTACCACGTGCATCCAACACCGTGGTGGCATTATGATGGGGAGAGGGGAAGGGGTTTGGGGTTATAGCTATTTCCGAAACTAGCGTTAAAGAACGCTGTGGTGAGTTCACCTGGCCTTATTTTTATGATCCTAATTTAAATAACAGGTTGTCGTTGTGTTACAAGTTACAACACACAGACTTTAGCGGGTAATATCATAAAAAATACTTACATTTCCCTCCTCTAATCCTCTGTAATAATCCCCGTATAAGCAATTTACCCCCACCCCCTTCAGTAACAGTAGTAGTTGTCGTTGAGAATATTCTTGAAAACGTATAACTGACACGCATGCACCCTGCATTAAGTTGTACAATACTAAACTATTCGATATTATTAATCAGTAATTAGTATATTTTTGTCGATCAGCCGACGACGATGACAACTGCGAAAGGTGAACAATCAATAATTACGTAATTGACACGAAAAAAAAAACAATAGTCGCAGTCCGTTCCCCCGGACAGACAGCAAACACACACACAGTAGTGAGTGACGACTGACGATCGACCTACTGATATATTTTAATATTGTTGTTGTTGCAGTCTGCAGACCGTACAGTACACTCAGTCGAGTAAACGCTATCACCGAAAGCTGTCGAGAGAGCATTAATTACTCAGCGCGGCGGTGGCGGTTTCGTGCGCTATAATATTATGGCACTCTTTGTGGTCACACGTCGACGTTGTTAATGTCATTAAAATATTATTGTCACGCGGTGCCGGGCGGACGGCATGCAGAACACATTACACGTTTGGCGTTTGCCCCCGCGACTGTGATGATAAACACGTGAGCGTACGATGAGAGATATTTTACTTAACATCTGTCCTGGCCTAGCTCTATTTACCTTGTGTGTCGTGCCACCGTACCACTGTCTGGCCCGTTTGCCGTCTGCGGCGACCGCCGAGCCGATGAGATGCGCGACGAGCGTCACGTACGTGGTTTTTCGGGAAGCGTGACGATCAAACGTCTTGTCGACGTAAAATGGGAGCACACACGGATTCGACGTTTTCGCCGAAAGTCCCGACGATTGGAAACTCGGAACGAAACTGTACGCTGCACACAGGCCACAGCGCGCACGCACACGACTATAGTAATAATATTAATAATAACAATGATGATATTATAAGAGGTTAATTATTATTATTTTACTATTACAACATCCATCCGCCGAGGACGAGAACTGTGAAAAAGCGAAACGCGCGATAAGAGAATATAAACGACGACGACAACGACGGTTTGGCGTTCAATCGTTTAGGAAATCTGCGCCGTCGACGAAAAAAAACGTGTCCTCTAGTCGGTAGTTTTCGAACCGCTCTCACTGCTCCCCCTCCGGCAGCGGAGCGATGAAATATTATTATTATTAATAATAATATTAAATAATAGTAATAATAATAATAATGATGATGATAATAATAACATGCGATCATACACGAGCAATACGAACGAACAATAACATAACCTAGAAACTCGCGCGTGAGTAAGCTCATATGATATCGTGCGTGGTACTAGTGTGTGTGAGTGTGTGTGTGTGCGCGCGTGTTCATCGTCGGTGAATTCCGCAGCAGCAGTCGACGTTTGCGCGCGCCTTGAGGAGCTGAGCCGCCGCCGCCGCCTCGGATCCGATCAGTCGCCGCCGCCGAAAGAGGGAGAATGTTTTTGTCCGGTCGCAGCGCATGCGTAAGACGACCGCGGGGTCAAGGTCGGTCGCGCTCGGCAGCCGCGACTCGGCGGGACGGCCGGCCGGCTTTTACGGGAAACAACAACACCGAAAAAATATATATAATATACACAAGCACAACGGCACATATACAGGGTCATTGAAATCGTGCGTGATTATCAACGGCCAACGCTCCGTATAACCCCATAACTGTTCGTTGTGTTATTATTCGACGCGCCGCTGGACGTCCGGATCGTCGTCGTAGTCGTCGTGTGCGCCAACTATAATAATATTTCGGAAACGTTGTTTGCCAAATCGATAGCCGCGATGGAGCGATTTCCGCCGGCCGGGCCGTCGACACGGGGAGAACTATACACCATAACGGACATAACGATTGTCCGCCAAAGCCCCTCTCGTCCGGTTCCATTTTATGACACGATAATACGCCGATTCCACATTGATAGCAATGCCCGGGACTACCATCGGCTCTTATAGTTTATCACCAAATACCAATAGTAACAGTAATATTGCTACGAATGCTACGATACCGCGGTTGTCGACTACCTACCCGATTTTACACCGACGCGCGACGAGCYGAAATTTCAGAAATCGGTGAACCGGAAAATACGAAGTGTGTCTATTTCTGTTATACGTTTATACACTGTATTGCATTATAACGATATAAATTAATGAATAATGATAAACGGTCGTCCGTCACTGTAAACTTGGGCGGCTAGGCATGCACGATWAAAGATATTATAATGAAGCGAACGTTTCGAACACGTGTTCGCCGCTTAAGGATAATAATATTATTATATACTCCGCCTCAGCCGTATAATAGTACACAAATTAGCATATTATAGTAAACAGAATATTATTTTGGCCCGCGATACGCTCGCCGTGTAAACCAGAGGCGTAATTTGCGGTGGACGCAAGGACGTTGTGCACAATTTACTTCCGGCATAGACGTTCTAAGAAAATATTTTACTGATTAATAATTTATTGTTGTCGTTGAAATCTATAGACGCTTTTCTAAAATAATTATTGCAATATAATTTCCATGTTTTTTGACATCTTAAATTATATAATAAACTTAACTAATTAATTTTATAATAATAATTAACTTAATTAACATACAGAAATATGTCAATGTATGGGTTTCCCAGACTTTTGTCTAGGGGGGATTATTTTAAAAATAAATGAAGATTTTTTTTATAATATATTTAAATGCTTAAATTTTAAAAGTAATCCACGTTTACTAAATTGACGCGTTACAGATAATGCTTTGGAAAACAAATTTAAAATTCTATAGGAAGGGAAGCAAGTACACCGTCATACCCTCTCTGGTGACCCCCTTGCTCTATGACATATATTTGTCAGATTCCCGATCTGTTAATTGATTCTGGGTAGAATTTAAAAAAAAAAAACCGAAAAGAATTGTCTTAAGGTCATGACATTCTGACATTCATACATCATACATATAATTTATATTACAAGTGCGTAGCACGTAATTGTGAGTTCTTCCAGAAATTTACAATCGAATTACATGCTCCTTACACAGGTGTATATATTAAATTATAAACCTACTACATAATATCATCACTATTCGTCTATTGATTATAAATATTTATTATTATTCATGAAAAAAAAGTAATAATTGACAAAGGTTCTCACCCGCGTCAAAAATCAATGGTTACTACACTTTGCGTGCCTTTATGTGTATAATATTGTGACATTGTCAATAAATGTGCCCATGATTAAGGGTAACAATATTAAACAAAAATGCTATTCATGTATTGTACCTACTATTGTATAATATGAAAAATGAATAACAACCCCTAATCCATCTCATGTTATATTGCTATACACTTGAAATGGACAAACTGGAACAACATTTACTTTGTATTGTATTTCAGTATGTGAATTATTCTATTATTTAAATTCATGTTAGTCTCGTTTCGTAACAACAAAAGGCTTTCGTGACAATAAACTAATATCTTGAGAAATAAACTATGTATAGGTATACCGTACATAATACATAAGACTTACTAGATAAAACACATCAACGGGGATGGCTGAAGGGCCGTGTTGAATTAGAGGGGAGCAATCATTAATGCCTTGAAGAATAATAATATCAAGTTAAATTTCAATAGTAGGTAGTTCATTAATTAATTAATTCATTCATTCATTAATTCATCCTTCGTTTAGTTAGGTAATTATATTAACAATAATTAATTTTTTTAACGAAAACAACTGTAATCTGTAATACAAAATAAAACCAGTATTCAATACGCAAATACAATATAATTATTAATTACAAATCATTACTAGCAGTAGGCATCATTTGGAGAAGGAGTGATTTGGCAATATGAAAATGTTTTCCTATTTCATTTTAAATGCAGCCAGTAGTATTAAAATACTAACGCAAAAACTTGCCTATTTTTATAAAATGTTGAAAAAATATAATATTGTGTACTAAGAAATATCATTGTTGTCACAACATTAAATTGACAATTATTAATAGTTCACAGGACGCTACACTCGCATGTGTTCAATGTTGTCTCCGTCTTACAAATGTACAACATAGCAAAACATAATGTGCGCAGTATAGAACCACTCAGGCAGTCAGGCTTGTAGAGATTTTTCAGACTAGAAATGTATATGCAATATAGTGTTTTTTGTTTTATTTTTACAATGTTTTATTTAATCTGTTTCAAAAAAGAACAACAAGAATAACTGAATCCCAGTGGAGGTATTACAATAATGAAAATAAAACATGAATATTAAGATTGAATTAGTTTGTCAGTAGGTTTCTACACTAAATTTCTATACTAAATCGTAACCGGGAGATTAGTATTTCTGTGATTTATTAATTAGATATGCAAATTCATGAGGAGATATTATATGTTTGGGTGGAATTGTCATTGGCAAAGGAAAATCAAGAGGTGTGTTTATTTTGTCAACTTAGTTGGGAATAAGTAACGATGAGTAGTGTGGTTTAAAAGTCTATGAAAGGTGTTCGTGGAAAATGTCTACCTTTTATTCGTCGCTTGTTGTCCAGGTACCGTCTGGATTTTTAAGGACGTATATGTTTGTGGTGGAGTTCGTAATATATTTTTCGCAGTTTTCCATATCAAGTTATTTTTGTGGTAAGTGAGGAACTGAGGGGAGATGTTTGTTAAAAATCTCTGTTCGAATTTCGGAGAGAGTGCGTTTTAGTTATTGTGTTAGATTATTATAGTGGCGTTTGTCAGAGGGATACTGGGTTCTTTGCCAGATAGGTCGACGCTTAATAGCAAATTAGATGTCTAACGTAGGTARGGAGATTTTATTTTGTGGATTTTGGAGGTATTGGAGTAGACGAGGACTAGGTGGCTGTTTGGATGGAAATGGTAAATGAATTATTTGCATGATCAATATCGGAGGGAGATTCAAGTCAATTGTAAACAGAACAGGGGAGTGGTCTGAGCAGAGTTCATGTAAATTTGTTATAAGACAGTTAAGACTGTTTTAGATTTTCATTTTATAAATATCGAGTGTACCAGGTCTTTTCCTGGGTGAGTTGAGCCAGTATGTGTGAGAAGGGGGTGAGAGTATTTTATATTACTAAGTGTTATATACGGTGTAGGAGGTCACCACGAGGGTTATTTGTATGGCATCCCCTTTGAGTATGCTTAGCATTTATGTCTCCTCCTGTTACGAATTTTGATCCAAGATAATTAAAATAGTCGTTAAATTTATTTGGTGTTATAATGTGACATGCGGCCAACTAAATAGATGATATTGTAATAGGCTTATGGTTCAGTGTTATAGATATGACTATGACTGCTTGGCTGGGCTGGATGGTGAGTGGGCTGATGTTGTTGATAATGTTGATTAATTTGATAGTGGTGGGTGGTTGACGGCGACGGCTTAAGGCTTTGAAGTGCTTTATGCACGATACAGTCTTTGTAGTTGGCTGGATGATTCCCGCTACATAGGGTTCAGGTGGCAGGAATATCTGGTGATTTGTCGCATGTTGAAGTGTGGTGGAAAATCATAAAAATAGTCAATGTATTGTGTTAATAAGTTTATTTTTTTTAACGTTTTTGTTCTTCATAAGTGCATGGTAATATACAATGAACTAACTGATACATAATATAGCTAACCTTGAATTTTGAACGTATAGGCATAAAATGTCCGTGTCTTATCTCCGTTGCACCAAATTACGTTATTTGAAAAGTATAATTATGCGTCCGTATATTATCGAGACAAACTTTAAAATGATGAAGAAACTTTTCAATAGATCTGGGGCTCAGAATTTTCATTAAATATAACTTATAATTATCCAGCGCAGCAAAGGCCGGGTACTTCATGAAGCAATTTTAATATCAAACAATAACTGTCAAAATATGGCTCGCATTCCAAAAAGCCATAGAAACAGAAATATTGTTTACATTTTATAATCAGTTTAAGAATCGTAGGTAACTAAACGGTGACTTAATTTTATGCCACCAAGACTAAGGAGACTAAGAGAGTGTAGTGAATTATTTGTTATCAGTTGACCGATATGTAGTATTACATTGACAGAGAAATTATTTCTGTTTTCTGTAATATAAACGTGTTTGGCATTCTAGTTGACAAATTCATTTGCCATCATTACGGAATTTTAAATTGGCCCACGTTTAAATATCTATATAATAACGAAATATTTATTCAAATTCGTTTATAACGGCCAATACTACAGGAATTTTGCTTGTTAAAAAGATTTTGATTTAATTTATCAGGTAGTTGTTATTCCTGGAATTTAAAAGTTGAACATAAATTCACAAT